CAATAAGAAAAGCGGAGAAGCTTAACTCATCGGATGCCGAAGTAGTCACATAATGCGTATATCAAGTGTGTCATTGAAGCAGCAGTAAGCATGATAATCAAGCTACTCCTAGACAACCAGGAAAACTAAGAACAACCAGCTGAACCTAAGCTTACGCTACGTATATCCTGGTACAGCCGAGGTAAGCCACTGCAATTTTTTACTTCAAAATTAAAGGGGTTCAGGAAACGATTTTCGTACTTCTTCCTCTTTATTCTTAATCCTCAACGCAAATGCAAATTGTGAAATAACGTCGTCGTGAAATTCTTCGGCACCGGTGAGATGATTCCTAGCTTCCACCGTGCTTTTTATACACACCATAGAACTTCCCATTCCCCAGTGACGACAAGTTCCGTCAGGGCACTCATTGGCCACGAACGCGAATCCAAATATTCGTCGACGGATTGATTCTTGACGAGCGCATACGTCCGAGTGACGCAGTTCTGGTGTCCAATGCGTGAGCTGGGCTCGGCTGACGTCAGGTTGGCACCGCTGACGCGCTTTGGGAACCGCGGATGTATCATAGTGAAAAGGCGGAGAGCTTTCGAAGGAAAAAAGGTACCAAATAGCCCGCTATATTTTCGAATGTTCGTACCGAAAAGCTGGCTTTTGACTTTCTACCCTCTTTCTTTTGGCAAACTAAACGATATATGATTAGTAGTCCTAATTTAAAAGCATTCGTCCCAGCCCAAAGTTCGTTTCAAGGCCCCTATAAGAAATAGGAAAACAGCGGTGTAAAAAATTGAAAATTTACACCAATGAAACAAAAAATATAAAATAAAACGGAAATAGAAAAATCGGGAAAAAACAAATTGGAATGAAAACCTACTCCAATAAAATGAAAGAAATAAAAAAAAAAGAGGAAGAGGATTCTGAAAATTAATTTAGTTAAACGAATTTCTCATACAAAAATATTGTAATTAGTGCAATTCCTTCGCCGATAAGGCTTGCTGTGACTTGCGCCTCGTAAATTTATCTTGTCCTTTGATCACTGAACTGCCTTAGCATTTTTGTTCAATGGAATAAGGGAGTACACTTGTAATCTCGTACGCGTAGAGCGAGATGTCTAGCCGGTGACGACTTCAGAGACAGTGCATGCTCTCTCAGTTCACACACCGGCCTCAGTCTGACCCACGTACACCTTCCCACACTAGAACAGAATCTCATATACTACGCCTTTAAGGCAGTTCACACATTTGTTAACAAGCCTGACATCGCATTTGTCGTGTTTGTCGTGTTGAGAATTGATTTTTGTACACAGTCGTTTCAACTTATCAGGTGCACAACGCACCACCCTGACATCAAACCTGTTGGCTACCTTTTCTAAGTTATGTTATCTCGAATGAATGTACGGCACCATGGCTGGTCGGCTAATCTTCTTTTTGCTTCGGTCTTGTATTTTTTATGCATTAATATATCTTTTGCCACATTCGTCAAGATAGAAACGGAATATTCCAAACTTTGCAGTCGCTGGATTTGGTTGGTGAAGCTTTCTGCGGTGAATGGTGCCACGACTTGTTTAACGCCGCTCTTAAGCGATTGGTCACGATTCCTCTTTTGGTGAGTTTGAAATATGTTGAGTCCAGGGATGGGCAGTATTTCAAATACAAGTATTTAAAATACGCATTTTAAATACTTTGTGTATTTTGCATTTGTATTTAATTACAAATTGGGTAATGTATTTGACATGTGTATTTAGATACTAAAAAAACGTGGGTATTTCAAATACAATTGTAATTAAATACAATTTTTTAGGCGAAAATACATTTCTCAAATTTATTGCCTCTGTCCAGAGCAGGAAGAAAACTACGTTCTGCACCGAATGCAGTGTCTCGCAATCAAGCACAAGCGTTTAGTGACTTTGTGGTTAAGGTGCTAGTCAAGGGCAAGAATAGTGACGAAATCGACTTTCACATGCAGACTGGCTAAATAAGTGCCTGTGACAACTTGTGATGCTTTCCAGCCTGGTTTCCATTCATATTTCTCCTGGATCATTCTAAATGCGCGGGTCATCTATATTTTTGTGATTGGTGCGAGTTGCAACAAATAAAAAATTCTCTAGCTAGTGCAGCGCGTCTTGGTCGTCTCGGTTCTTTGTTGTTATTTGTTGGTCTATACCAAAATGTAATCGACCAAAAAAGCTGCTTGAAGCTCTCTACTTTTTTCACCTAATACGTCCAAGCTGATTACATTTTTTTGTGATTATATTTCTATTACGTTACTAGAGCCTCGCGCACTAACTCCCGAGTGTGCGATGCAAAATTACAATGAGATACCCAGAAACCGGTTGCAGGTGTCCTGAAGTCGTTGACGCAAATTTTGAGGAATGTATTTGGAAAAGTATTTGGAGGAGACCAAATACATTTGGTAGTATTTGTATTTTGTAATTAAATTCTTTTTTGGAAATGTAATTAGATTTGTAATTAAATACATTTTTGACGAACTATTTTGTAATTGTATTTCGACACATATTTGCATGTATTTTGCCCATCCCTGGTTGAGTCTATTCGGAGTAGCTTTTTCTTTGATCTTGGTCAATACACCCAGCACAAAATGGTTGTCCTGGAAGGTCATTTTCAAGTTTAAAAATTGAAGGACGCTGCTTGTGGGAAGTTCATGTGTAAAGCAGGAGTCCTTGAGAATGTTTCCCAAAGGTAGCGTTAATGTCGTGAACTGCTTTGGTGTTGCTCTCTTCCTTCCAATTTGTTTTTTGCCAATTTTTTTCTTTCCATTTTATTTTATATTTTTGTGTTTCATTAGTGTAAATTTTTAATTTTTTACCCCGCTTTTTCTTATTTCGTAATTTAGAAGTCAAAAATAATTGTTGCTTTCTTTCGTCTTGGTTAGTCTTTTTACTCATTTGGTATATGTCCTTGCACTTCTGCTTTATCTTTCTTTTTTTTCTTTACTAAATATCAGTTGTGAATCAGCGCCTGTCCGTGTCTGTGTCTTCCACTTGTTTTCGTCTTGAGCGCTACCTTTAATTCGTAGTGTTTCGGGTCCTCGCCGCTCAAAAGTTGCGCGCTCACTACCGGACTCCCCGAGAAATGTTCTGTGCTACCAGACCCTCGCGGTCTCAATCCGTGACCGGGCACCCTATGGCTCCGTCGACGAACTGCCAGGCTTTGTAAGTATAGAAGAGGCTATGTATGGCAAGGCTCAATCATCGCTTCTACTGGCACGATATTTACCGGAGCATTAAGCGTTACGTTTCCTCGTATGATTCCTGCCAGCGCAGCAAGACCCCACAATCCCGGCCCGCTGGTCTCCTGCACTTCCAGCGTCCCACGGTCTGCCAATGTGACCGCGTAGGAATGGACCTTTTTGGTCCGTTTCCTTCCTCCTCTGCTGGAAACCGGTGGATCGCCGTGGCCGTTGATTACGCAAAGCGCTACACCATAACAAGGCCGCTTTTGACTGGTACGGCAGTAGGCGCTGCTCAATTTATTTTAGAAGACCTAATTCTCAAGCACGGTGCACCTCGAGAACTTCTGTCCGATTGTGAGTGGCCTTTCGTGCACAATTCGTCACCGCATTTTTACTGCTATGTGCCATCGTTCACCGAAAAACGACGGCCTAACACCAACAGACCAACGGACTGGTGGAATGTCTCAACCGGAGACTGCTGATACGCTGTCACTGTATATCTCGGCCGACCATCGAAACTGGGACACAGTTCTTCCTAATGTTACGTTTGCCTACACTTTCAGGAAAAAGGGTGTATTCTTACACACTTTGCCCCATACAACGCCCCCCCCCCCCCCCCCCCCTTTTTATATAAAAAAAAAAGTTTTATGTTTTGCCCACTGACGTCGAATCGACCTGACCAACTTTCCCGAGCGGCTTGATAGCCAAGTGGTAAACTTATTAAAATGGCCAATGTGCAATACGTGTTAGTGAGAACAACAAAAACACAAGAAATTTTTCTTGGCACTGCTGCAAAACCTCAGTGCGTTTTTTTTTTCGTTAGTTTTTTATACGTTTTGTGGCTGTTTATTCTGTAACACCGCACCGGCTATCATGCAAGCCTCCTGTAAAAGTTGGGGTCGTCTGTCCGACGTCGGTGCCCTGTACGTCGAGCCGAAGTTTTGGGGTGCATTTTATGGGACATGAAGGTGTGAGACGACACCCTTTCATAACATTACTGATTTTTCGCCATTTTACCTACTGTTCTACCACGAGCTCAACCTCATGATTGACACCCTTCTTCTATTGCAAACCAACATCCACTTACAGATCACACCTCCGAAGCCTTATGTCGCGCCGAAGAGGCACGTCAACTAGCACGGCTTCGAATACTCAATTCACAGGAACGACAGTGCCCCCACTACGGCCACCTACATAGTGTAGTTTGCTATTAGCCGAGCGACTTTGATCTGGTATGGACGACTCAGCGACGTGTTGGTCTCGCCTAGAAACTGTTTCCGCGCTACACCGGGCCCTATTGTGTCATCGCTGAGCGCGTGACGTTAACTATGCGGTGGAAGCTTTACAACTCTCTCGCGATACATGCCGCACTCAAGCTGACACCGTCCACGTTATGCGACTCAAACCGTACATTGTTTCAGCTAACCGCGGGACGCCATTTTTGTCCGGAAGGGGATAGTGTAACGAAGAAAAAGATGCGGCAAGACGACTCCGACGGTGAAGAAAGAAGACGATTCCAGCGGTGCACCTTCTGGAGGACTGAGCAGGATATCTGTATTTCGTATTGTCTTCACTGTCTAGTAAATCATTTTCCTTATCTTTGTAACAATATTATTTTAATTCTTTTAACGAAAAAGTGATACACGGCGCTCCCGAAGAGCGTGCGAATAACCGCTTGAGGCATTGTAAAATTTGCATTTACTACCTGATTTTATCTTAGTCAACGTAGCTTTTTATTCACTGTACATCACCGAATCGGTAACCGAAGTTACCAGTTCTAATTTATATGCCTTTTCACCTAAATGCAAAGTTCACTAGGTGGTGCTTAGTTTTATGGTTTCATCATTAATGATCGACTCGGCTACTAGGGTTGCGTTCTGGGCTTTCTTTTTTTTGTTTCTCTTCCTCCTTTCGTTTTTTGTAAGCTTTTATTAAATCTTTAATTTCTTTCTTCTTTTGCTGGAAATACATTGTTGGGTATCTGAAATATAAAAGCAACAAATGTGTTACTTTTTAAGAATCATCCCTGCAGCCCCCCGCCCCCTCCCCCCCCCCCCCCCCCCCCCCCCATCAGTTTTAGAAAAGCAAAACATTAAGGAACATGTTAGCGTTTTCGTGTGCTTGCAGCTTGGCACTGCCTACAACGGAATACCCTTTTTAGTATCATTCGTTTTGAACATAAGCAATGAAAGAGTCATTTCATGTCTGCATAATTTCAATTGAATGTTTACCATCATCAATATATTAGAACCACCTTTTAATAAATATCACTTAAATTGAGAGTGGTATCTTTGAAAGGAGTCTTGAAGGTTTTTGGCATCTGCCATGACTGGATGAATTACATATAATGATTAATTTTTAATTCCCCAAGTTTATATTTAAATTTTGTGGTTTTTTTTTATAATATTTGTATACCAACGCCAGAGAACAACTTAAAAGAGAGGAAACAGCAAATAAAAACGGTAGCATTGAGATAACGTCTTAAGTAGGGGCGGTCAAAATAAGAAAGGATCAGTTGATGCCAACCTAAAATTCACAAAACAACCTTTTTAATCTTAATCTTAACTCACAAATTTCAGATGGAGGCGGGTCGGTTAACGAGTCATCTCCAACCTGTCTCACATCGTCGGATTATCTGTCAATTGGTCGTAGCAACGGCGCGCGACACCCTGCTGTCTTTTAGGTGTAGAGCTTTCGGCATATTGTTTTCTTGTTTCCGGTATGGCACCCTAACAGCCTAACATCGTCACTGAGTGGTGTGGAAAAATACATAATTTTCGAAATTTTCGCGGCTGCGGCTGCTGATAACAAGATTGGGAAAATCATTTTAGCATTTTAGTTTGTTCTGATTAATTTCTTACCTCTCTGTTTTCGGTCATTATCAAAAGCGTCAGCTTTTCATAACCATGGAAAGTTAAGAAATATATAATACCGTTTTTTTTAATAAAAAAAATATGTGTTTTGCGCTTCCCATTATGTATGTATGCTAAGTACTTCGTTAATATGTGCCAGATGAAATATAGTTTATTGTGTGCGAAACAAATAACGATAGAAATGAAAAGGTGGAGCAAGATGTTAGTAGTAATAATATAGATTAAAAGATTTTTAAATAATGCGACTAATATAAGCATTCTTGAACAAATACTGTTTGCTCTAAAGTGCGCGGAATTTTCTGTTATAGATGAACCAGGTCACCCCCTTTGCCAGTATTTATAGGCCACTTTTAACATAGCGCGTTGTTGTATGTGTTCCATAGAAGTTCAGCAGAATGTTAAAAAGCGGATAAAAATCAAACTATAAAGGCCCTGCTTTTTTTTTTTTTTTTTTGCTAGATGGACATTTTGTTGAAATAACCAAATAAATCGTAATAAATAATTACGAATTAAGGCGAGTATCCAGGCAGGAAATATAGCTGGCATTAAGAGTTACTTAGTAAAATAAGGATATGTTTTGGTTGAAATATTTAGATACCATATAAATTAATAAACTATTAGATTATATGGATTTCTTTTTGTACGAAATAATTTCTATGTCGGAACGGGCGGACCGCACAAACAAAATCCGACCGTACACATTTCACAGTGATGTTTTCGCGTTTTATTTTCTCCAAGTACAGTTAATGAATAGAATAGGTTACCATAGGATGTGTTCTTGACTAATTTTTAAAATTGTGTTTGATAAAGTTGTTTGATATGTTTCTGAGAAATGAGACTTTTAGCCTTCCAGGGCCCGTTTTCTCGAACGCGAACCGTGGGTTAAAGCAGGAATTCTGCGTCACGTGACTGGGAGAGCAGGGGCGCCGAGGGAGGAGCAGTACCTAGAAGCAAAATGGCCGCGGCGTCGCTTAATGAGGGCTAATAGTTCTGCTTGGTTCTGCTGAACATTCATTTAGATCTGGCTGTTATATTAATGACTCACCATCAACCTGTTAGCACGTCAAGCAAAGCGATAGTTCAGAGGGACTACTAAACTAACCGACGGCAGCATTCCGCGAACGCATCACTCTTCAGCATTCCGGGATCCAAGATATATGACGGTACATAAGCCTTGCCAGTGTTTTTATGGTGAGTAAAAAAAATGTTTTGCGAACGAGTATTGGTACATATTTATACTAAGACGTTTAATTTGTTACACTATGCACGCCAACTCGTGAGCAGTGATTACTTTGCGGAGAAGGGGGTTATCCTCAATAAAGTCTTCGTTCCGGGTGAACAGCTGAGACATTGCACAGTTTTTTTTGTTCACAGTGCGCCGACAGTATGCCGACAGCATTGAGGTTTCCACATATCCCCGGTGGCCAGCAATTCAACGGTGACGAGAAGCTTAGCTTCTCGTCACCGGTGAATCGGTTGGGCAAACGGAAGAGAGGGCAAACAGTTGAGATCAGCAGGAATCGCAGAAACGTGCGTCGCAAGGAACGAAAACGAGACAACAGCACCGGCGTTGCCAGACTGGAAGAAACACGGGAAAGTTATGCGTTGTTTATGGCGAAACATATTGAAAGAAATGTTTCTTACATTTTCGAATATTCGTCGACAAACTCTAGCATATTAGCTAAAATTTCTTCGTACCATTGGAAGCAAATAAATTGGTCTTCAAGCACAACATTACTATATTTTGACTTAAAATACCATACTAGATCGATGACAACCAGCGGAAAAAGAGGATAAACAAAATGACTGGCTTGTTTCACCGATAGATGGCGCATCTTATTGCCCAATCAAAAATAATTATTGTTGTTCTATATCCAGCTGTTTATTACAGTACCTAGGTACTTTTCTCTTCATAGGCACCGTGGTTTACCAAAATGGGTTTACCATCGCTTCGAGAAAACCGGCCCAGATCTGTTGGATGGAAATATATATTTTGTACCCCGGTTGATTTTATAGGTAATGCTTCTTTGATACCACTTGTTTTTATATATGTTTTGGTGTATTTCAGTGATGTTGAGGATTTTTTTTTTGCTTTAATCCCGCCACTTGCACTGATGACTAAAGACAATGCAAATTTCTTTGTAAAACAAATAAAATTATAATAGTAACGTATAAAGGGACTTGTTTAAATTTTATTTAATTATTTTAAGTAAGGCGATGATATTGCGGATATAAAATCAGTTATTGCTGGCTGAAAAATTAATATCTACAAGTTTCAAAAGGGATCTGAGGTACTTACAAATTATGCTTGCTTAGTTTTTACTGATTTTGAATCTAGAAGCAGGCGCTACTTACTATATTGGGTAGAAGGGCACACTCATAGAGAGTGATTTTCATAATATCTTTCACGCATTACGACACAACCGATTGTGACTACGTAACTATAGCTCTTGAAATTCAGTCACTGCACTTGGCCCGGAAGTAATGGTTCTCACCCGTCATTGCTCACAAAAGGTTGTCAATGGTAGTGCGTTGTTGGTTCTTTAATCGCTAGACAACACATTACCGTTATCATCACAAGAAGCCCGTAAAAATTCAGTCCCTCTTTGCGGAATCAAGGCAGATGTGAATGGAAAAAGAGATGGATCATGATATCAAACCCTAACTGTTTTGTCCGAGAACAAAAAAAAAAAAAGGCTTAGCCTCAAACAATTACTTTCTTCAGAACTGAGATTCATCACGAATCTCTTAAAACCAGTCATTAAAAATTACTTTACGCAATTTACTTGTTTCTTTAACTGTCACTAACACTACTTTCGGTATATAATGTCCGCCAATCTATGAAGGGACGAAACGATTTTGGTACTGCTATGGCCATTTATTGTGTTTTAAATACGTATACAATCATCACGCTTTCCAATAAACTTTTATGTGAGCGCAACATCGAATCAAAACTTAGTTCTTAATGTGATAACAAGTTACACACTAATCTAAATATTTTAAGTTATTTCAAGGAACAGTCAGTCTCAGGAATAGTACCGATCAAAGAAATCTTGTCAACATCAAAACCCAATCGGGCTTAGCATCTTTGATTGATTTCTCTTTCTTTTGTTTTTGTAAATGAACGCATTCACCTTACCAAGGTACAGTATCCAGCTCTGTATAAAGACGTAATTAAAGTGACACACATACTTACCTACATGTGTCAATACACTTCTCTCTGTGTTGAAAATTATTTCCGTTTCCATTTTCTCCGCGATAAAAAAACAAATAACACTGGTTTTCCTCATCATCATAATACCATCGTGTCAAATTTTTGCTTCCAGATCCGCGATTTGGTTTATGCCAGCACTTACCGCGTGTTTGGTCTGTGGAAAGGATGATAGTTATTGTCATGATTTACAAAACAAACGAGAAAAGGATATTTAAATAAATATCCTATCATATGTTGGGACGAGCGTTTTGCTGATCGACTTCAAAACAGTGTCTGAAGCTCAATTTCATACCGGCGTTTATAGCTGCAATAAAGAAATTTTTCAGTTACCTAATTTAACAAAGTTATCCTTTAGCGTTGCTTAAATATTTCCCAGAATAACGCTGATAAGGTGAGCCTGTTGGTACATACTAGGAAAAAGAGTTTGAACTTAGGGAAGAAACGTATCGAGAAAACAGGACAGATGAAACGAGACGGCTACTAGCTACGAGTTTTACTCAAAACGTCTTCTTCCTTATGTTGTAATGTCCTCCAGCAAAACCATAAAAAAAAAGTGAAAGCCGTTTACAACTCCCTGTAACACCGAATTAGAGCGCAGCTCTTGAGGAGGAGGAGGGAAGGGTACTGGGGGGGTGAAGTGACCTGGGGGGGGGGGGGTCACGTGACCTTGGCGGGTCACGTGACGATGCCGATGATGTCATCAGTGACGTCACTGATGACGTCATCAGTGACGATGACGATGCGGACTCCGATGACGTCATCAGCGATGATGACGATGACGATGCGGATGTCGGTGACGTCATCAGTGACGTCACTGATGACGTCATCTGTGATGATGACGATGACGATGCGGATGCCCCACCCGGAAGTCACGTGACACCCCAGGTCACGTGACCACCCCAGGGTCACGTGACCCCCGCCGAGGTCACGTGACCTCCCCGATGACGTCATCGTCACTGATGACGTCACCGGCATCCGCATCGTCATCGTCATCATCGCTGATGACGTCATCAGTGACGTCACTGATGACCTCACCGGCATCCGCATCGTCATCGTCATCATCACTGTTGACGTCATCAGTGACGTCACTGATGACCTCACCGGCATCCGCATCGTCATCGTCATCATCACTGATGACGTCATCAGTGATGATGACGATGACGATGCGGATGCCGTTGGACGTCATCAGTGACGACGTCATCGGGGAGGTCACGTGACCTCGGCGGGGGTCCCGTGACCTGGGGGTGTCACGTGACTGGGGGTCACGTGACTTCGGGGGGGTCACGTGACCTCGGGGGTCACGTGACTTCAGAGGGGTCACGTGACTTTGGGTGTCACGTGACCTTGGGGGTCACGTGACCCTGGGGGAGGGGTCACGTGACCTTGGGGGTCACGTGACCTTGGGGGGCCACGTGACCTTTATGATGACCTTGGTTACGCCGACGCCGACGCCGACGGCGACGGCGACGCCGACGGCGACGCCGACGCCGCTCAAGCCGGGAACGGGCCCCTAAGAGCTGCGCTCTAAAAACTTATGCGCAGCATCAGCGGCAGGGAGGCAATGCAGACGGAATGTTTTCCTCGTTACTTTTTAAAAAAAAAAGTTTATTTTTAGATTATATTTTGGGGGTAAAAATGCCACTGCTGGAGGACGCGATAGAAGAAGTTTTCACTAAAACTAGTTAGTACTCAGTCGTCTCATCACGTCTCTCCTATTTTCACTGTACGCTTCTTTCCTATGTTTAGGCTGTTTTTCCAAATATTTCCCGGAAGCAGAACTTTTTTCCTTAAACAAGAAAACATGTGCACCATTCCATGGCGACTTCCAAATATGTTCGAAGTTAAAACATAAAAAGAAACAAAAAGGGAAGAAAGGGTAGGTCTATGACATTTAATACGACAAAAATTGTGGTTGAGCGTTGTTCGCTCTGACGATCCAACGAGTCAAACGATAATATAACTAGGGATGTCGCGAACCGCCCTAGGTTCGATTTCGAAAGGTTTCGATATTTGCGAAGCGAACTGAAGTTCGATTTCGAAAAATTTCGATATTTTCGTACCGACCAAGGTTCGAATATGAAAATTCGCAACTTTTGACCACAGTGGAGTTTCGAATTCGAAAATTTCGAAGCTTTCGCGGTTTCTAAAATTTCGAATTCGAATAATTCGAATATTTTTTTACTTTAGGTCGATAAATTCGAAGATTTCGAAAATCTTTGAAAAAAAATTCGGAAACTTCGAACGCTTCGATTTTTATAGACATGAAGTTCGAACAACTCAATGATTTCGGATTTCTTTCTTCATAAAGGTCGAAAAGGTCGAAGGTTTCGAGTCTCTTTTAACGCTAAATTAAAAAAAAAAAAAAAAAAAAAAACTTTGAAGATTTTGACTTTCTTTTTAATCCAAGTTTTCAAAGTTCGAAGTCCGATTTTCAAGTTTTTCCACAGTTTCAGTTTCAAATAACGTTTTCACGACTCACTCACTGGTTTCCACAAAATTAAGTTTAGAAAAGTTAGGGTGTGAAATCTAGATTCTGCGAAGTTGGTCAGGCAATTAAATGAGACGACGAGTGCCCCGGGCGTGCTAGAATATTTGCCAGTGCAGAATTGTGACCGCCAGCCACGGGGGGGTCTTTAACCTGCATCACGCAGTAGTGATTACATGAACACACTGTTTTACGAGACTCATCCAGTTCGAAACGGCCAGGGGCGAGCAGGAGGTTGAGGCTCAGAAGAACCTTGAAGCGACCTGGCAAACTAGCTCGCCACCCTTTGCACGCTGGTAGTAATCCGATCCGGTAAAGTTTATAATTGTCCTGGAGGTTTATTTTCTGGGACGGAGAAATCGCCTTGCAAAAAGCACAAAAGCCGACACAACTCGAGGTCGAGGAGCGTTCTACCAAACAAGTGGCGTCGGAAGAGGAAAAACGGGGGGAAAGAGGGTAGTGGGGGGGGGGGGGGGGGGGGGGGGGGGGGGGCCTCAGCCTTTTTCTTCCTTTTGCAGGTATTTCGGACTGTTAAAGAAAACAATACGGGGAAAGAGGGCGTGGTCGAGCTTATTTTAATCTGAAATTATTTATGCATATGTGTAGCTACTGTCGCTCTTCACTGCATAAAAGGTTGCGTAGATGGTCATTGTTAGAAACTCGTTGTCAGAAGGCACTACTCGTCACATGCTTAGTGGTTCGGAAGTTCAAAGCTGTCTTTTCGACCTAAATACCTGTGCGGATAATAAAAAAAAAAGAATCAATGTGGAAATAAAAAGCAGGAGAAAAAAAAAACTATCAAGAATTTGTCGGAAGTGTTCTATTCTTGCATATTCAGAGGTTCAGAACTTCGAAACAAGTTTCTTTTACCAAATTGTGTACAGGCTAAAAGAAACACGTCCCAGGAACGTGAAGCGAAAAAAAAAAAAGTTTTCTTTTAATGATGTGCTGAACTTAAACACTATTAGATATGTACTGTCTGTGGTGTTAATTTAAATGCGATACCTCAAACAACTTAGACGAAAATAAATATCAAGTTTAGGTCATAATTGCATGCAGATACATGTTTGGACATTTCTTCGAAACTCACGTTGAATAACAATAATCACATCTTAAGACGGAACTTACCTAGGCTATACATAGATCATTCCTAAAAAAGTATACCATAAATAGCTCCGGCTACAGCGTGCTTCAAATCTGGCACAAATGATAATCGTCTAAAACCCGTTGTCCTTCCTCGGCCTTTCGGGGATTTATTACTTTAAACCTAAGCATGCCAGAACATTGAAATAAACGACTTTGCCTTTCGTAAGGAACGCAGCACCGCGTGTAAAAGTTCGAGAAAAAAAAATTACGAATGTACCCCACTACTTGAAATCAAATGAAACCATCCGCCGGTCTTTCGAAGTTCGACGCACGTCGAACTTTTACCCTAAGAGTTCGAAGTTCGTCGACCTTCTGACATTTCAGAATTCGAAGGTTCGAAACTTATCGAATTCTCTTGATAAATAAATTCGAAAATTCGAAATTCATCGACTTTTTTGATCAGTCAAGTTCGAAAGTTCGACAAGCATCGAACCTTGCAGCGCAATAAGTTCGAAAGTTCGAAAAAGATCGAATTTTTTAGCGTAATAAGTTCGACGGTTCAAAAAGCGTCGAAGTTCTTAGCTTAACAAGTTCGAAAATTCGACCTCCGTCGAATTTTACGATATAGATAATTCGAAAAATGGAAATCTTTCGAACCTTTCGAACCGCTTGATTCGATCATCGAAACTTCGATTCGAAAAAAGTTCGCGGCATCCCTAAATATAACGCTGGCACATATGTAAGGATAGGCATGCACATAACTTGGAAGGTCGTGACAGATAGAAAACCTTTATTATTTGTTAAGCAGCAATCAGTCCACGTGTGAGACTTGATAAAAAAGTGTAGAAAGATGTGACTGCAAGGAAGTTTAATATTTTCAGGACTAGCTGCGTTTTTATGACAATTGTCAACAGATTACACCAAAGAGTTTCCAGAAGTTGAGATATTTACTATTTTTTATTTCATCGAATAATAAAAACGAAACTTACTTGGCCGGCAATGCTGGATACAGTATCCCATTGAAGGAAAGAAATAGTCACCGCTTTCGAAGCAGTTAGTAATTATGAATTCTTGACACCTTTTTATTGTTTCGTTGAAAAAGTATCGGATGAGCTTGCGTTGGCACATCGGAAGTGTATTGTTCGGCACGTTTTCACAAAATTGTTTTGACATTCCAGGCCAAGACCACACATATGAAGTTATTACTGAAAGACAGAAATAAAATACTTGAACTGGAAGTTTTTCTTTTGTCCATTTACTTTTCTTGTGAAATGACCTAATTTTATTTTCGGTTCTCCATTCATTCACGTAATGGATTACGAGAGCATGCACATGTAGTCTTCATATAAGAATATGCCTCTGAAAACATGAGAGAACGAGATATTTATATTACTCTTACAAATAAAGTTACTAAATCAGTAAGAAGCTGGCTTTAGTTTCTTTCCAGTAGGCGGAAATAAGACAGTTAAAAAGCCACGAGTTAATCAAAGCAAATATTGTGAATGGTACGTGTTAAGTTCTGTCGTATTTTCTGCGAAGTTTATATGTGATACCTATCAAGCAAAAAAATGACATATAAAAGACTGCAACATATAAGCTTCATTATCCCTGAGTATTCTATAACTTGTTCAGAAACAGCAAAGCCAAAGGGCTGCCTAAACAAATTATTGCACATGGTCGCAATACAATTTCAGGCCTGTGTTCGATAGATACGTTATACATTGAACGTTTAATTTTTTATATTTTACTTTTCAGCCAATTTGTTAAAAATAGGTATTGCAATGCGTGAGGAACTAGAGGGAAATTCAGGTATAGCAGCGTACTTCAACTAGTCTGTAAGGATGCATAAGGTGTATCCTTATAGATATTCCTTTATTTTAAAACACAAAACCAACATTCTGAACAAAGCTTTGTGTAGCATTGCTAAAACAATTAGTGCAATGTTACCTCTAAAATATGTAACCTAACTGTGGAAGACGAAGCAAAACAATTGCCTTTTTGTTGTTTTTTTATATTACCGCGTATATGACCGAGAGGAACGCTTCTCGGTACTTTCAGAAGATTCGTGTTTCCCGAGTAATCGACGCTCGAAAATTCTAGACCGAATGTTCAATATACTGAATGTAATAGATAAGGAGGCCAACGTGACCTTGCCGAGTCAGTCTCGCACTAGCTCGACGCTCGCAAATTGGGCTTAGAATGTTCGAGCGTCGAACAAGCGTGAGACTGACTCGGCATGGTCATGGCATCCTTATACATATATAACACACGATATTTCGAACATTCGGTCTAAAATGTTCGAGCGTCGATTACCCTGGGTAAGAGTAAACACGAATATTCTAGATGTACGGAGAAAGTTTCCTCCCAGTGAGGCTCGCGGCAATAGCCGCTTGCGTCTGTTCTGATTTCGGTGGCAGCGCCCTCGCCAAAGTGATCAAGGATTGGGAAAGAAATAACGGTAGGTTCAAGCTATTCAAATGCTGTGACTTGTGGGAATCCTCATTGGAAGCTGGTGTTATTTCGCAGAAGCTCGTTAAGCAATCTGGTGAGATCCGAAAACCAGGAATACATTTTTGAGGTAGGTGCAGAATCCAAGAATAGGCGGGATATTTTTCGGTGTTTTAGGTATTGGGAACTCAGAGACGGCCTGAGCTTTACTTGGGCCTGGCGAATGCCGTGTGAGTTGACTAGGTGTCCCGACACTTTAATTTGCCGCGCTTCAAAAGTGCACTTTTTTTGGTTTGGGTGCAAGTTAGCGGAGGGGAAGCAGTCTTGAACCTGACGGAGCCGACATAGATGCTCTTGAAATGTCACGGAATGCTCACGAAATGTCCCGGTGGGGGATCGGCGGCCGAGTGGGCTAAAGCGCACACCCAGCTCGACGCGCGTGGAGAGAAAGCTTGCGCTGCAGAACCCAGGGATCCTGGGTTCGAGCCCCACCCCTGCCCGCTTCTATCTGGATGAGCATCGTACCGGCGTGCGGTCGTGTATCACTACTGTGTGGTGCACGTTAAAGACCCCAGGCTAGTGGTTGTACTGCACTGGCTAAATTGCTCACCTACAGCGTGTGACTCGTCACAACTTTAATGGCTGACCAACTACATGCTGTATAAATATCCCCATAACCCAATTTGCTTTTTTTGGTGGGTTCCGGTGGTGGTTTTGACAGCCGGTGGCAATGAAGTAAAGCTGGAATGTGGCAGCACCTCCTAGATAAGAAACCCTGAGAGTTGAATTTTCCTGCGTCACTAAAGAAGGCCATCGTAGGCCGGAGATTGGACCAAAGTGCTGCGTCAGCGTTCTGCTAGAGCTCGTATCCCATCAGTGATAGCAGGACTCCTAGCTGGACACTGACGCTGAAGTCGCGTCCAATTCTTAGCCTGCGGTGGCCTTCTTTATTACGCATTATGTGGGATGTGTTGGAGTTGGTCGCTTCTTGTGACATGGTGCTAGTGGTGCGCGCACTATGCAACTACAGGATAGAAATATTGGTAGGAAGGTTGCGAACGTTACTGATCTTCGTCGCTTGTGGGTGGGGGTATTGAAAGGGATGCTTTAATGAGGGTTATTGATTGATTTCCCGTGTGTTCGAACGACAAAAGATGCCTCGCCCTTCAGCTTCGGCTTCATCGTCTACTTACAAACAATATTAAAGCCACCCAGTTTTACTCACATTGATTTGCAGCTAGAACCACGAACAGCATGCACTTCATGTTGGAGACTCAGCAGGCAGTCCTACAGGAAGATAGTATGCAGTTGTAAATAACGGGCTTCACGAATGTACGCCCAACGCCAAATGGTTACACCTAGCTCACGTAGCCGAAACGGTCCTCACGAATGCCTTCTTTTTATTGTGACAAAAGAGATTGCTACGTCAATCTTTTCTTTGCACACAGGTCATCACTCTGAACACAAAGGTTTCTCACATGCTCCTCCATAAACGTTGTGACGTCATTGTTGTTTACGTCATCCAGAGTTTTAATGTTGGGTTCAAATACAAATCAGAAATTAACCTTTGCTGATGCTTGGGGAGTCGTCGTTATTTCCGACAGAAGCTCGAAAGTTGACTTCAGCTGTCTGAGAAATTCACAGCTTTGCATGGCTCCGGAAACAGACGTATATATAGAAAACATCTTCAAATACCAAGATCTCAGTGGATTTGACATTTTACAAAAAAAAAAGAAAACGAAAATGCATGTAATTCTACGAGATGCCAATGTGCGTATAAACGGAATAGTATGAATACATTATCGTGCATATATGTATGTGTATAAATGTGGTCATTATTGTATGAAAATGTGCAGACTCTTAGTCATATGATTGAAATTGAACAAGATGTAATTGAACACTTGCGTGTGCTACCAGTGTGTGCGCCCGTTTGGGTGTGCATGCATGAATGTACGAATGTGTATGCATGCGCGTGTGCTTGTATGTGCTTGTGTACGCGTGTTTTTGTGCGCGCGTACATATATATGCGTATGTGCGGGTTTCTGTGTGCGTGTGTGTGAGTGCATAAGTTTGTCCGTGTCTTCGTGACAGCAATGAAAAAAATGAGACGTTTACAATTCTCTGAAATGCCAAATTAGAGCGCATTGATTGATTGATTGAGGTTTAGTGGCGCAGCAGCATCCAATGCCATAATGCGCCAACAACTATGACTATTGCAGGAAACCAGGGTTATAGTGAAGAAAGAGCTGTAGTAGCTTGTGGGTTATAAAAACTATGAACACGGAAGAATACACACATGGCCATGATCTTAGGAAACATGTTAAATTATAGCTGGTCTAGTAGTCTAATATCTCTATGAAAATTTAAAACACACTTTTGTGGTATTAGCGGTTCGTCGCCGAGTAAAATAACCAAATTTAATGTGACGTTCGGGGTCATACATAGGGCATACAAGTAAAATGTGCAGGATGCTTAATGGTATATGACAGTGTTCACACTCTGGAGCATTCTCACTTCGCAAAAGGTGCCCATGGGTAAGACGTGTATGACCGATTCGGAGTCGAAATAATACCACCTCATAAAACCGCTCACGATGACGTGCACTCTCCCATTCCTGAATTAAAGGTCTTACGGCATACAATTAATTGTTCATTTCTTGGTTCCACTCCTCTTGCCACCTGCACTTTGTAGACTTTTTCAGGGCGTGTCTATAATCTCTGTAGGGTATTTTTTGCAGATCCACTTGTCGATCCTTAGCAGTGCTCGCTGAACGGTCAGCATCCTCATTCCCAGGAATTCCTACATGGAAAGGTACCCAGCATGAAGTTATTTCTTTCTTACTTTTTGATTCTGAAAATAACCGGTTCCTTATTTCTAGAACAAGCGGATTTTGAACGTCCCCCATTGTGTCCAGAGCTCGTAAAGCACTAAGTGAGTCAGTGTAAACAATTGACTTAAGGATCTTCTTTTTAAGAATGTGGTCTATGGCAAGGAGCAAGCCATAAAGCTCTACAGAAAGAATACAGGCACTATTGTTATTTCTCTGGACGCACTTCACAGAAGGCCCTACCACTCACGTCGCGACGTGAGTGACCGTTTTTCTGGTGTGAGTGTGAGTGTGAGTGTGAGGGTGAGTGAGTCTACTTTAGCGCTTCTTCTACAATATAGGCTGAGTATTGGATATGTGCGAAAAGCACCAGTGAAAATTCGGAGCCCCTGATGAAGAATGGGGTCCAGCTTCTTGAGAACAGATGCCCGTGCGGAACCGTACACAATACAGCAATATTCAAGTCGGGACCGTAGGACTAAGTGGTGGATGCGCAATAAACAACACCGATCAGCACCCCCAGGACACGTGCGACAAGACCTTTAGTATATTAAGTGATTTTACACATTTCATTTTGAGGCTCTTAACATGTGGAATGAATGTCATTTTAGAGTCAAATATAAGACCCAAAAACTTGTGTTCGTTCTTTACTGTAATAGGGACTTCATACATAGTTAAAAAAGGCTGAAGCAAAATTCCGCGGCGGCGAGAGAGGCACACACAAACCGCTTTCTCATGAGAGAACCTAAAACCATTTACATCCGCCCATTTGATCAAATTGTTGAGCGCCAGTTGAAGTCGACGTTCACAGATGGACGGATTACAAGATGAGACTGAAATTTGCACATCATCAACATAGAGCGAGTACTGAACAAATGCGGGTATAATACGAGAAATTGAATTCATTTTTACAATAAAAAGTGTGACGCTAACCACACCGCCTTCTGAGACTCCATTTTCTTGCGAAAAGTCTTTAGAAACAGTTGCCCCAAGCTTCGCACAAAAAGCGCGATCCCGGAGGTCTTCTATGGAAGGCACCTAGCGTTCCGCCCCGAAAACCAATGTTGAACAAATCCTGCAATATGCCGTAGCGCCAAGTTGTATCAAATGCCTTTTCCAAGTAAAAAAAGACAGAGAACCAATGCTGTCTATTAACAAATGCCTCTCGCACAGCAGTCTCAAAGCGTACCAGATGGTCAACCGTCGATCGAGCTGAACGAAAACCACACTGGTAACGGTCAACTAGCTTGTTTCTTTCTAAGTAAAATATAAGCCTTTTATTTATCATCCTTTCTAGTGTCTGAGAAACAACTCGTGAGGGCTATTGGCCTAAAGCTAAACGTACATGTAGAATCTTTTCCTGGCTTCAGCAGAGGAATAATGACAGCCACTTTCCAAGATGAGGGGAAGCAACCTTGAAGCCAAATGCGGTTGAACAAATATAAAACAAGCTCAAGAGATGATGGATGGAGATGCTGATCCGTTTTGTTATGAATGCCGTCTGGCCCAGGAGCCGACTGTTTGGACGAAAGAAGTACCAGCTGTAGTTCAAAAAGTGTAAATAGTGAATTATAGGGCTCCTGCAAGCCACCTGACAAAGGAACTGCCTTTTTCTCTGCCTGTAGCTTGTGTCTCTGAAATGACCGAGCATAATGTTGAGAAATTCAAACGAATTCGAAATGCTCACCAAGGACATTCGCCTCTTGTTCTCGGCTGGCAGGGCATACTCCGTTTTGTTTCAGGAGTGGGACAGAAAATACCCGGTAGGAGCCTTCTATTTTATGCACATGTCCATAACGTCCTTCGAGGATGCACTGCTATTAATTGAGGAAGCATACTTCCTAAAGCTTTGCCGCCTGGATCGCCGTCGGATATACCTCGCTTGCGCTTTTTTTTTCTTAAAACCGATCAGGTTATTTGCCGTCGAATAACGCATGAGTATACCCCATGCACGATTCTGTTCTTTCTTTTCCCGGCGGTAGTCTTCGTTTCACCACGGCTTTGGCCTTTGTGGAAGATGCGAGGATGTCATGGGAATGGCAAGCATAGCGGCTTTCAAGATATTCTGAGTAATGTGCTCGGTGATATCGTCGATCGAAAAAACATCAAGGGATGAACATGCTATAAGTCAGGCTTCTGTAAAAAAAGACCAGTCAGCCTTTTCAAGCTTCCAACGAGGGGTACGTGTTAAAAGACCAGCAGGAGGATGGTTGAACTCTAAAATGAGTGGAAAGTGGTCACTCCCTTATGGAGTTTGGATGACCTTCCATTAAAGCAGGGGGTACAACGAAGGATGAAAAAAACGAAAGATCAATGGAACTAAAAAACAAGTTGCTGAACTAAAATAAGTGACTTCTTTTGTGTTGAGCAGACACAATCCTGTCGAAAGAAGAAACTGTTCAACGGGTGCCCCTCGAGAATCTTTTCTACAGCTTCCCCACAAAGAATTGTGTGCATTGGAATCACCTAAAATGATGTAAGGCACAGGAAGCTGGCTAACTAGATTATCTAGCTCCTCGTACTGCAGCTGATATCCCGGGGAGATGTACACCGAGCAGACGGTAATCATGCGTTACAACAGCAAACGGACAGCCACGGCCTCGAGAGAGGTTAGCAAAGCCACTTCAGTGGGCGGGACCATGCGTTGGACAACCACTGCAACACCACCGGAAGCCACAGACGCGTTTAACCTATCTTTTCTGAACACTTCCAAGTGTCTAAGCACATTTGAGTGACTTTCTTTAAGGTGCGTCTCCACAAACAAAAAGCAGCAGGGCGGTGTTCATTCAATAAAAAGGTGATGTCGTCATAATTGGAAAAAAGTCCGCGACAGTTCCATTGTAAAATACACACATGATTAATATTAGGCAGTTAGCCTTTTCACCAGAAAATCACGTAATGGTAGCTAGAGGAAAACTAAGCCAGTCACAGGAGGTAAATTTAGTAAAATGTGAAAATGGACATTAATGATAATTTGATGAGTCTGCAAGAAGGCAGCTCCGACCGAACCTTGGAGAAAAACAATTAAAAATAAAGCCCCAGTCGAGGGAGTCGCCACTAGTCCTCTTGTTGATCTATATGGAACTGCCCCCTCCGACCTCCAAGGGCGTCGAGACTTCGGGCCGAGGCCGCTGGCGAGGGAGTCGCCGTTACTCCTCTGTCTCGCCTGGTCCCTAGGAGTAGGTGGAGCAGTAGGAACTAGCAGGATAACTTGGTGTCGTTAGGTTAGGATGTGACTGAGGATGCAGGATGATGTTGCTGTTAAGAGAGCATACCAGCCTTGTAGAGTATAATTGTCAATTTGGTGGAACAATTAGTTTTTTGCTCTCGTGCTTGCCCTTGGGGACCTGCCACGCCATGTCGTCTGTGTCAGACGCAGGAGTGGATGGTTCGGCACCCTCCTCTATTGGTTCTGCCTCCTGGGCGGAGGCTGTTCTA